GAATTCTTTTCTGAACTCTTAATAGTAAGATGACATTCAGATAAGAAAATAAGTTGGCCAACAGCTATAAGATACTACTGATTATATCTGTGCATTTTGATTTCAGAAATTGAGTTAAGGTATAAACAAAGGATGTGTTTGGAAATCAACTGAAATGTGGTATGCATACGTACATGCGGGCAAGGGTATTTGGGAACTAGTTCATTCTCTTAGCATTGAATACCTAATGAACTGATTTGACTTCCAGTCTCACACTGCCTACTTGCCATGCCAAAGCTAATCTGTGTCCTTTTCCACCTTCTCATTTTTCCAAATATTGATGGCTTCCTCCATTCCTAGAAAACAAATTCAAACTGGTTCACATGGCACTTCAACCTTTAGCAAGTTCCTACCTCTCGATCCTCAGCCCTCTGTACTATCTCATGCCCTTGTCTCTCAGCCCCCATGTACATGAATCCTTTCCAAAGATCTTCATCCCTTCTTTGGAGTATTACTGTATTTACCAATTCTATTATCTATTGCCATTTATTGCCAATTTGATTTTTTCTTATGCAACTTTTATCTGCTTATCTCCCAGCCAGAAGCACAAGTTCTTTAAAGAAATTCTTTATATGAGAGACTACATTTATCACAGTCCTGAACTCATATAACCAAACTAATGTAGTAATGTACTCTTGGGTTAGTAGTTCCAGATGATCATGTAATAGTAAAACATTTAATAATCCATATTAGTAACTATGCTTACAAATAGCAAGTACCAAAAGAGGCAGGTTAACCTATAATTATATAACATGTGAGCTTAATATTTGTAACAAAAACATTTCACAGCCACTGAATATTTCATGTTAGTGAGCCTTTGCAGTGTTAGCCCTTCAATTTCGGTTGCAATTTTTGCCCACATTTTTTTTTCCTTCCCCATTACCATCCTATAACCTGGTCACTCTGTGCACTAGCAACACTTAAGTTAAGCTGCAATTTCCCTTTAAATACCTTAAGTCTACATAACCCAGCCTAGTATAGGAGGGGAGGCCACATGCACAAAATGATGAAGTAGATATTAAAATTAGTTTATTTTTCTACTTGACATTTAATAAATGAGAAGAAACACAGTAGTCTGTCTCATAAAGAACATTTATAATACATAACAATCCATAAAGCCTCATGGTGAGGTAGGAACAGCTTTGGAAAACAACGCACAGTCATAAAACATACAAAAAGTCAGGTAAAATGTTGCAGCACTAAAGGACATTTGATCTGCATCTGCATTTAATGAGATGATACTTGCATTTAACTGTGCCACATCTGGCCCAAAGGACAGGCTATGGTTGACACAAAACAACACAACATGGAAGTTTCATAAAGAATCACAGAATACATTGATACACTTCATTGTGCTGTTTCAAGGCAGAACCATAACAGGGCAATTTGTGTCTTTTTATATATAGCCACATAACAATTGTATGTTACATTCCCTTCAGCATCTTTTTGCCAAAGACACTGGACCACAAAATTTTTGGTTTAAAAGTTTAAAGTGAATGACATACAAAAGGCTCCTGTGCCAGTGAAAAGGACCGCTAAATATTCCAGAGCTTGTTAGTACGACAGAATAGCATTGCCACATAATATTGGTAGCGCTACATGAAAATAGTGCTATTACAATTCCCATTTCAGGTGGCCAAACACTGTATTTGACAGTTTTCCACTGAAAAAAACAACAAAAAACCCTCCACCTTCCCAAGAGTTTTAACACTGTTTTAGGACTTAACTGAAACTCTATTAAAATAAATATTTCCATATTGTAGAATTATTCTCCATATTTGTGTATGTGTGAACATCTTAAGACAGCAGGTAAATGACATTTATATCATTCAAACGATATCTGCTTATAAACAGTGAAAATCTTCAACTCAATACCGGTTAGCCTACTAAATACTTCACACTAGGTTCCATAGGCCATTTCCCCCCAAACTTTCAAAAATTCAAAATTAACTGGGCATGTTAAAACAAGATACAAACATGTTATAACCATAGTCTTCTACCTATTGAGATTTTTCAAGGTGCTCTTGATGGAAATTTTTCCTATTCAAATTACATACCTTAGTTATCCAGACATTGTTTTCTAAAACGCTAAAATTCATACACCAAAGCTTTTGTCCTTTTTTGACTTTTTTAAAAGGTCCTGGTCCATATTTTTACAATGCAGATGCCCTTCAAAAAAAACCTTTAAACAATCATAGAAGCTATAAGGTGACAGTGGAGAATGAAATCACTCTCATCACTAAGGCGGCATTTGGCTTGGAAAAATTTGCGTTGGTTTTAATTCAGGCACATGCAGCACCTCCTTTTCACGAAACCGAGACAACAGACAAGTTTCTAAACACATATTCTAAACACACTGATCTTGCTCAAATATAAAAGAGCCAGCAGGAGAGATGCACCTCCTAAAATTGATGCATTGCTATAAAAAGCATATTTAAATATTGGGTTTAAGTCTCCTAATAATTCAGGGTATTCCCCTCATTTTCTTTCAGGGAGGAATAAGCTATTTTGGAAAAGACACTTAAATCCCACAATATTTAAATATAAAAGCATTTTTTAAAAGATAATGCTAAAAATGGGTTAGAAAGTGCATTGTAAAGAAATAAATAATTCTCTGCTAAAACTCAAAAGGTGAGTCAGTGCCCACTGATTTTGCTATTATGACAAAGTCCTCTGAAAAAAGAATTCTGTGGTACCACTTTGTTACATATAAGCTACTTAAAAATTACGCAAAGTGAAATAACTGAAATCTAAAGGCTTTTACCTTCAAAGCACTTTTGGGGAAAAAAAAAAAAGCCCTTGTTCCATGCCTGTACACCATTAAAACAAAAACAAAAACTCAGTTAGCTGATGTCTTTATATGTTGTACAACCTTTAAGAAAGACCCAATAGAGCATTTGTAAAGAAAACCCCACTGAATGTATTTTACCAATTATCCTATTGTATACATTGTTACCAAAATGTTTCTGTAACATAGACTGTTTTAAGATCTTAATGAAATGTTTTGTAGTTTTAAGTGTTAAGTCAGGAATGTACATGATAACAGTACAGTTTCAAGCTTTCTTTCTCGTTTACCCAAATTAGGAGATTCCCAAATTTCATGTTTAAAAAACTGTTTTGCAAAATTCAAAGTAACTTCCAGTTTAGGAATTGAATTACACAATTATCAGATAAGAGTATTAAAAGATCAAGATGTATTGCAAATTGGCAGGTTATGGTTTTGGCCCATTATAGCAAATGTGAACTTACAAACGGTGTTCCTAAAATTACCTCATTCTCATTGGAAAAATCGGCTGTTCTTAAATAGGCCCATTGCCAGCAATAGGCTTAGACTAGAAAAAAACACACCATCCACCACAAAAGATCCCTTTAAAAAAGTTAACTGCCCAATGCCGATGCCTTCATCTTAAGACCCATTAAACAATGAATTATTTCAAATCCCAAAAGACAGCCACCCCAAAAGTAGTCAGCTATAAAAGTTACTGAAGTAGTCAGGATACCTTATTTCTAGAAAAATAGAGCTATACATGATAACCGACACTCCTATTCATCCTTTTGAGGACAAAACTCTAGTTTCTTCACAAAGCATAGCCCCTCTCTGTCAAGAAAAATATAACTTAACTAGCCTTAAATAATATTTGTGTATGGATTTGAAACCCACAGCAACAATGTCATAGCCAGGAACATCCTGTGTAGATACTGTGGCAATCTTACAAAATAGACCACTATTAGAAGATCCGAGATAGGTCAAGACTGGATGACCTACAGAATCTTAATGATTAATTTTGCCTTCGTTAACTTTGCTTTCTAAGACTTTAGTATCCAAATTGCATTAACCCTTAGATTTCTTTTCTCTCCCCCCTAAGTCAGTGGCTCTGGGCAAAGCACAAGAACTGCTGGTTGTGCTCGAAAAAAGCTGTTTGGATCCATTCATGATTGGTCACCATGAAACGACTAACGTTAAGTTTTTTGTAAATATCTACAACTGAAAAGATTACATGAATAAGCTTGCCATTTAACAGGTAATTATTAGGTTAGCTTTAACGGCCTTAAAAATACTTACTGTATATATTTCGTAAGCCAACTTTCAGCTCAATGTTCTAATGGCAATCTTTCAAAGAAAGTGATGCTGGTGAACATGTCCACATTTTAGACTAACTTTGGTAAAAGAAGATATGAGTTAAGATTCTCCAAATAATTTAGAAATGCAGTCTGAATATTAACTTACCACAATCTATATATTTAATTTGGTGAACCTTCTTCCCTGCTCTTACTCTTATATGCCCTATCATATGTAAACTATAGTTCAACTTGTTAATTATCTCAATTGTTTATTAGAATAATACTCAGCAAGACAGAATCCAGGACAGTAACTGATCTTTAGTATCGTAAATACCCCATGTGAAGAAAAAGGGGAGCCTTTCCTAATAATATCCATGAGTCATTCTTAAAAACATGCTGCCATTATGCTACGTAATGATCTCAGAGGGCAAATAAATATTACCCGAAACATCAAAGGAAACGAACCTGTTGATGATTTTCAAAGTTTAGTGATTCTAATTCTAATAAATAAAGTATAACACTGGGGGAAAAGAAAAGAAGAGAAATTCCAGTAACAATTTTAATTTATTTATCCCCCTAATTAATTTTTTACCATGGAAAAACTGGAAATCAAATGTCATTATGTTATATAAGGTTTATACTTTAAACAAAAATGTAACATAGTGTTAAAACTGGCTTTCCAAAATTGTTACAGCATAGCTGTACTCTGCACTAATAATCACAAAGTTGTAATATAGAACTATGTTAAGCAGTCCCATTATGTTCTTACAAAAATAGAATTAAACTGTGTGACCAGACAAGGACTTCAATTACACTACTTGGCAAACTTAGAATTTCAATGGAGTCTTTTTCCTCTTGCAGTTTAAAGCAAAAGTCAAATACCACATCTTTCTCAAGACTCACAAAGATGATTCAGGTTGTTTGTTTGGCATTTTTTTAATCTCTATCACAACAGCAGGGATGCTTTCAGCTTTAGTCCTCTTGGGCTTCTTCTCTAGATTGTCGCTAAGTTCTAAACAGGAAATGCTAACTGTCGGGGCCTTTTCTGCATCCTTTCCAGAAGGGGCTTGTGGCCGGGTCCCACAACATTGCTTCAAAGCACACTGAGTTCTGCAGGCAAGTTCACATGGGACTACACTTGATTTAGAGCCTACACTAGCAAATTCAGGCTGGATGGTAGTAGCGTGAATTCCGTGATTATGAAAAACGTCCTTAATGATTTTGGCCACCTGCATGTATGATGTCGGGTCTTCACATTTTATGTGAGCAGTGGCAATGATTCTGCTTCCAGCCAGTTGCCAAACATGTAATTCATGAACTTCCTCAACTCCTTCAACATCTCGAAGTTCTTTTATCAAATTTTTGATATCAATTTGTTTAGGAACAGTTTGTAGAAGAATAAGAGCAGATTCCTTAAGTAACGGATAAGTTGTGTAAAGAAGTATACAAACCATTACAATGCAAAGAGTTGGATCTAAATATAGCACCCAGCAAGGACCAGCTTCATAAACTGTTGCATGAGTACTATTAATTATTTCTACAAATGCTTTGCAGGGGTCAGGGATACATGGATTCACACAAAACTCCCCTTTAGGACAACCCTTCCAAGAAAAGTAAAAGACCAAGGCATTTACTACTACAATCACTGAACCCAAAGCATCTCCAAAGACATGCAGGAAAACTCCACGCATGTTAAGTTGTCCAGCCTTATTATCATCTTCCAATTCCATATGGTCAGTTTCTCTGATAAGATTCCCATTCACTTGTACTTCCACTGCATCATTTCTGGACTTTTCTGGATCTACAAAGAAAGAAAACTGCTGTATCAAATACATTTAAAGTGTTTACACACACATCCTCATCTAACTCCATCTTAGTCAAGGAGGTGAACATTTTTCATAAAATATGATTTAAAAATGTGCCTAGGGCAGTTTAATATATAAACTGACATACTGGGAATGAGCCAGGGCAAAATGGCCAGGGCTAAATCAAGTTATTAAGAAGACACTACATTTCCCCATCCTCCTAACCACTCTCCTATCTGCCCGCCTCCCCCCAAAATTTCATCTTTTCTGTGGGGGTGGGAACATTCCACTATACTTTTTGGCATATACAAACAGAAAATATAAAATTTAATGCGATCCCCCATAAATTAAATGCCACGGTGCCTGATCTGACACACAGCTCTAGTCACTCTTTGTCATTAAGGTGTAGTGGCTAACTTTTAAACTTTTATCATGAATGTAAACCATAGAGTATCTTGGTGGAGAGGGTTCAGAAACTAAAAAATCAACAACACAAACCCATCAACAATCATAAACTTCAGGAAAAGCCGCAATAAATGACCACTATCTACCCTACTAGCTCTTAAACCAAATGTATCCATCTTTGAAAGGAATTACTGTATGCACACCAGAGCAGCTTAATTTTCTTTGCAATAACACCTTGAAGAGCATGGGTGAGGGGAAATTCAATCGTTTATTAAACCTTTTCAAATGTACAAGTTGAATGTCATTAACACGACACCCTGCATCTTGAAAACAGCAACAACTGTCTGTGTAGCATCATACTACCAAGCAAATAAATGTAAATGAAAAAAAAAAAATCGGAAGGAAATACACCAAATTGTCAATGTCTTTGAGCCTGGGTAGTTGGACTTGGGTTGATTTCCTTTTTCCATCGCCTTTCAATATTTTCCAAATTACCTTCAGGAGCAATAATGTTTAGAATGAAAAGCATACAGTAAAAAATAAGATTAATAAGTGGCCATCACTTTTATTTTAGGATGATTTTGAAAAGTCCTCAGTGAAATGTCAAACACGACCAGACAGGTCCTAAACCTAGGATTGTCAGGATTAGGCTTCGACTTTAGACAACTAACTGAAACACACATTGCTGTTCATGAAAGAAACCTCCAACCAGGGTTTTGAGCTCGGCAAAGTCCAAGGCTAGCTGGCTCTGAATACCGTACTGAGAAACTTGCTTAAGGGGCCTAAGAACCGCTCGGGCAGGGCAAGGTTTCAAGTAGCCACCGACCAAGCATGAACTAACTGGGGGTTCTCTCCGTTTCCCAAGAGGGCCAAGAAATTTAATCAGGAAGCGCTTTTGATCCTGTGAAAACCAAAAGCAGGCAGTCTCTTGTAAGGGCAGCCAAGTGCGGCTGTGGACTGCGGCGGGCTGACGGTCACCTCCTGAGCCTTTTCCCACTCCCCAAACCACAGTCCCCACCGACACCCCAGCCGCGCCCCCACCCCCGCCCCGGCTCCCAGCACCCGGCTGAGAGGGGTCCTATTTCCTCGTGTGCCCCGCGGGTGCGGGACCCGGAGGGCGAGGGGAGGAGGCGGCGCGGCGCCGGCCGGCTCGGGCACCAGGGGGCGTGCGGGCCATCCCGCCCCGGGCCAGCCTAGGGTCCCGGTTTCTCCTGACCCAACCACCTGCGGCGGCCACTCTCTCCTCTCACCTGGCCGGTCCAGTTTCAGCCCGTTGGAGCTGCTGCTATTGGACACTAGGGTGTTGGTCTCCTCCTGCTCGGGCCTCTGCTCGCCTGGGGTCACGCTGTTGTCGCTGCTCCCGGTGCGGTTGCTCTTGCCGCGGGCCCCCTTGGGGTGGCCGTGACCCCCGTGCGAGTGGCCGTGGCCGGAATCGTTGCCGAAGCCGCTGTGATGGTGGAAGAGGCAGAGCCCCATCACGTTGACCAGCAGCCCGGCCACGCCGACCCCGAGGACCACCAGCGGCTGCTGCATCTCGTGCGGTTCGATGAAGCGCTCGATGGCCTCCAGCAGGATGGCGAAGCAGAGGCCGGTCAGGAAGATGGCGTTCACCAGAGCCCCCATCACTTCGGCCCGGATCCAGCCGAACGTGTTCTTCTGGGTGGCGTGGGTCCGCCGGGCGAAGCGCTCAGCCACCAGCGCCACCACCAGCGCCAGCACGTCCGACAGCATGTGGAAGGAGTCGGAGAGCATCGCCAGGGACGAGGTCACCCGGCTCACCACCACCTCCAGCACCATGAACATGAAGGTCAGCATCAGCATGCACAGCAGCCGGCCCCGGTTCCGACCCCAGCACCCCATGGCTGCGGCTCAGGGGCCCGCCGAGCGCGGCCCGGCGGCTACACTGGCGGTGGCGGCGAGTCGCCGGCGGCCGGCGACCGGGCGACTGAGGCGGGAGGGCCGCGCGGGTCTCTCGCCGCCCGAC